CCTGAAGAGAATAGTGTAGCGAGGAGTGACTAAAGGATCTGGCTCTCTCTGTGGATGGGAGGCGAGGGAGAATAGAAACAGAGGCCTGAAGAGAATAGTGTAGCGAGGAGTGACTAAAGGATCTGGCTCTCTCTGTGGATGGGAGGCGAGGGAGAATAGAACAGAGGCCTGAAGAGAATAGTGTAGCGAGGAGTGACTAAAGGATCTGGCTCTCTCTGTGGATGGGAGGCGAGGGAGAATAGAACAGAGGCCTGAAGAGAATAGTGTAGCGAGAGTGACTAAAGGATCTGGCTCTCTCTGTGGATGGGAGGCGAGGGAGATAGAACAGAGGCCTGAAGAGAATAGTGTAGCGAGGAGTGACTAAAGGATCTGGCTCTCTCTGTGGATGGGAGGCGAGGGAGAATAGAACAGAGGCCTGAAGAGAATAGTTTAGTGAGAAGTGACTAAAGGATCTGGCTCTCTCTGTGGATCGGAAGCTAGGGAGTTTCGACTCACTGCCCTTTAAAACATATGTCGTAAAAAGCGTCTTATTAGGGTTTTCTAGCTTCGCATGCTTTGGATCAAACAACTTAGATATTGCAGAATGGGTATAACACAAACCACAAAATAGTCAATGAAGGCAGGAGTTCGTTAGCCACTGCTGTCACACATGCATATACATCTAACTAGCTAATCTTTCAAATATCAGCGAGACGAGAATATAAGAAATAGAAGCGCGCGAAGCATATGTTAGGTTTAAAAAACAGAATAAAACAATTTAACAAAAATTATGAAAAGCTTCTGTTAGAAAACACGAAGCAATAAAAAGTACAATAAAGGAAATGATAATGTAAGTAACTAGGCTGTATCGTTACTATATTGCGTTGACAAATGGAACAAAATTAAATAACAATTAGAAGTATGCACAAGTGATAAATGCGATTAAATAGGCGTAGTGTCTGGACAACCTCTAGTCCAACATTTGTCAGATTCAAGACGTGGTTAAAGTTACTCACAGAGCAAGATGAGAAAAGTCGAGACAGGTATTCCCTCTGAACAGACTGGCATACATCACTTCAGATATTCAGGGTCGTAGCATGGGTATATTTAATCCAGAGCATGTAGGTGGATTGGAAAACTAACAAACAGATAGACTGGCTGGTTCTGCACCACTTAGTCGGAAATTGGTGACAAGCTGGGTGCTGTAAGTGACCTTTGGAAGCGAGTGAACAGTTCGGAGACACAAATAGATCAGGGTCTGAAAAGAATAGTGTAGTCAGTAGTGACCTCAAGATCTGGCTGTCAATTAACACTTAGAGGAAATGTGTATGGACATACACAGTCAGACTGTTACTGGCACAATTTGAACTATTCGCTTGT